CAGCGGCTGAATGGGGGACAGCTGGGGTGCTGCCAGGTTGGTCCCGCAGCCCCGAGGGGCAGTGCTATGGTACCTACCTGGCAGCACCCGAGCTGCTCTGCCCCCGGCTTTCTGGATTCAGCCACTGGTAAGTTTTAGCAGCGGCTGATTCCGGGAAGCTGGGGGCAGAGCAGCTCCAATGGTCCGGCTGCCTGGAGTACTTCTGGGTTCCTGATGGTGCCGGACCATCAGGAGTGCCGGACCATCAGATTTTTACTGTAGTTGGGTTCATGATGACCAGGAGGAACCACATGGTCACTTGCCTGCCTGGCGCAAAGGTTGCGGATCTCTCAAGGCATCTAGATAGGCTTATGTGTAGTGCTGGGGACGAGCCGGTGATCATGGTATATGTAGGTACCAATGACGTAGGAAAGGGTAGGAGAGATGTCCTGGAGGCCAAATTTAGGTTGCTAGGAAAGAGACTGAAATCCAGGACCTCTATGGTGGCATTCTCAGAAATGCTTCCAGTTCCGCATGCAGAGCCAGGTAGGCAGGCAGAGCTTCAGAGTCTCAATGCGTGGATGAGACAATGGTGCAGGGAAGAGGGGTTTAGATTATTATGAACTGGGGACATTTTTGGGGAGGGGGAGCCTATACAGGAAGGATGGGCTCCACCTAAACCAGGGTGGAACCAGACTGCTGGCACTAAACATTAAAAAAGCCGTAGAGCAGTTTTTAAACTAAGAGATGGGGGAAAGCTGATTGGGGCAGAGAAGCACACAAATCGGATGAAGACTTCTCTTAGAGGAGAATCCATTGATAAAGTTTCTCTAAGCTGTAGTCAGAAAGAGAGGAGGGGAGAGGACAAACTATGGGCCAGAGCAGACAAACAACCGCATATAAAGGAATCCAATGCATCAGGGAAGGGCAGACAAACTGTGGCAAATAGATGGACCTTTGGTCTGACCCAGTACAGCCATTCTTATGTTCTTATGTACTTCCAAAGGATCTAATCATTCATTAAATACTTACTGGGAGGATCTACTAGGATCATAAAAGATTGGCAGCACAATTAATATCCATCTATATGATCCTTTGGTGTGTTTGATTTATGAACTTCTGATTAAAAAACAGTACTGCCAACATTGATGTAACATATTAAATAGATTAAAAATGGGCAAACTGATCATAAATCTCAAAAAAGGGAAAATAATCGTTCTATGGGATGCTTCTAGTGGAATGCTACAAGGATCTGTTCATGTCCCAAAGCCATTCAATATCTATAAAGTCATTACTGATAGTTTCCAGATTAACACTCCACCAGTGTATGTGTAATTAGGGAATGGGGGATGGGTCAATTAACTAGAGAGATCTGGATTATTTGTTAAACTGGGTTTATTAAAACACAAGTACCACTGCAGTCAAATGTAAGGCTTTTTATCTAGGAACAAAGAAAGCAGGATATACTTACAGTATAGGGGGACTGTATCCTGGAAGCAATGACTTTTAAAAGGACTTAGTGTTTACGATGGCTAACCAGTTGAATGTGATCTGCCACTGCCATGCTGTGGCCAAGTGGACTAGTACATTTTGGGTTTATGAGCAAGGGGAACATCCTCTACCTCTATTTATAATAGTGGTAGAAATGTAGCCATGTTAGCCTGGTGCAGCTGAAACAAAAAGTGCTACACAGTCCTGTTTTTTGTTTCAGCTACCTCTATGTATGACATCAGTAACACCATTACTGGAGTACTGTGTGCAGTTCTGGTGCCTATATTTCAAAAAGGATGTTGAAAAATTGGCAGTGTCTCAAGAAGTGAGCTATTAAATGGTTTGAGAAAAGGATGCTGGAACAATTTTTACAGTGTGAATAGTGAGACCCTCCAAATCAGATTATAAACTCTGAAAATAATGAAAACCACTTCAAGCCAGAGATGTGGCAGTACCCCTAGTTCTCGCATGGATTGTTTGAGGTCTGACAAATTTCACTGTCAGGTAGATTTAAGAAGTTCAGTCTATTTTCCATAGCCAACAGAAGGTTAAGAAGTGATTTGATAATCTATAAGTATCTATGTGGAAAGAATATTTCTGATACTACAGGGCTCTTTAATCTAGCAAACAAAGACATAATGAAATCTAGTAGCTAGAAACCGAAGGTAGATACACCCAGAAGAGAAATTAGATAGAACTTTTTGTAGTACTGATAGGAATTACCCTTTGAAGCCATTTACCTTGGGATATGTTGGATTCGTAGTCGCATAAAGTGTTTAAATTAAAATTGAATGTCTTTCTAAAAGTTCTGCTCTAGCCCAGCAATTCTCAAACTTTATTGGTTCATGTACCACCTTTTTAAAAAACTGTGATGTGATTTGATGGAACATCAAGCTCATATATCACCATGATATACAAATCAGAGTTCAGAAACCCATGTGTTTGGGAACCCCAGAAGTTGTATGTTTGATACATGAATTATTGGGTGAATTTCTACAGCCTGGGTTGTGCAAGGGATAAAACTAGATGATCATAATAGTCCCTTGTGTCCCTGAAATATATAAACCCTCAGCACTGTGGGAAGAGTTCTCAAATAAACACTATTTGGCTGTGTCTAGACTGCATCCCTTTTCCGTAAAAGGGATGCAAATTAGACATATCGCAATTGCAAATGAAGCAGGGATTTAAATCCCCCCACTTCATTAGCATAAAAATGGCTGCCTCTTTTTTCTGGCTCAGAGCTTTGCCGGAAAAAAGCACCAGTCTAGACGTGAATCTTTCAGAAAATAAAGCCTTTTCCGAAAGATCCCTTATCCATTATTTTAAATTAGCTATTTCAAATTTGTGTTTAATATAGTGTCCCTAGTCAGCACTGTTCACTTTGATTATTTTTGGAGGATAGTGATTTTGTTAAATCTCTTGACCAGTGTTTGCTATAAAAAGTATATATGGTTTCTCAGTTCTCTTCAAGGCTCATCTAGACTACGATGAAGTTTCGAAACAGGATATGCAAATTCAATGGGAATTTCCATATCTTCTTCTGATCTCACTTTCTAAAGCAGAGCTTTTGAGAGTGAAAGTACTGCAGTTGGGACATGTTTTTTTTCGGCAAATCCCTCCCTTTTTCAAAAAGACATTCTCTCTCAAAAAATGAGGTTTACACAGCTTTTTGAAAAAAAAGGGGGGGGCTGCCAAAAAAAATCCGTGTCCTGATTACTTTCAGAGATTGGAAGAAGATATGCAAATTCCCACGGAGCCCTCAGGTTGTGCTGGTACTCATCCTAAAACACCCATTCTCAAATTGAAGGGAAAGGTAGGGGATTGGAGACTACCTTTTTCATGGCTGTTGATGGGGAAAGTACATTGCTTTCCCTGTTTGAATCAACAAAATGTTGTCTCTGTCATTCCTCTCAACTTTCTCACCTCTTTATCTCTGCCACTCTACAGACTCTTCATGCTACATATCATATAGCTATGTTTTATGTATGCAATATATTGCCAGCAGGGCTGGTGGGAAAACTGATTTTTTCTCTCTCTCTAAATAATAATAATAGAATGTTTGTTCCAAATTTTTTGGTGGAAGAATTTTCAGCATAAAATTTCACAAGATTTTTTTGTTTCATTACAGTTTTAAACATTAAAATGAAAATCTTTGTTTCAGCATAATGTCATTTTGGTTTATGGAAACAGAAACATTTAAGTCTCCTGTATCAGGAGTTTTCTTCCCAGAGAATGATTTTATGGTAGCAGCCCAGAACTAAACTGAAGGTATCATCTCATCCCAATGTATTACTTTTATGAGGGCTTCTGAACATTCATCCAGCTAGGATCTGCTGCTCTTCCTCAGATGAGCAGTTCTTCCTGAAGTTCCTAAAATACATGTCTGGAGTTAAGGAGCAAATATGTGCCAGAGGCATGTCCCTCATTCTTTTAAAGTATCAGTCAAAATGCACTTCTGCTGTAAATTATGCAGGAATGGGAATCTACAATAAGTTTCCCAGGGTATGTCTACACTAGCCCCCTAGTTGGAACTAGGGAGGCTAATATAGGCATTCTAAGTTGCAAATCAAGGCCAGGATTTAAATATCCCGCACTTGATTTGCATCTTCCTGGCCGGTCACCATTTTTTGAAATTTACAAGTCCAGACTAACTGTCCACGTCTACACGTGGCAGGGATCCGGTAGTTCGAAATACAGCCCTAGTTTCAACTACCTGTTATTCCTCCTGGAATGAGGTTTAACAGGTAGTTCGATTTAGGGTCTTTAATTCAAATTACCGGGTCCCTGCCGTGTGTAGATGCGGCCAGTTAGTTCAGACTTGTAAATTTCAAAAATGGTGACCGGCTGGGAAGATGCAAATCAAGTGCGGGATATTTAAATCCTGGCCTTGATTTGCAACTTCGAATGCCTACATTAGCTTCCCTAGTTCGTACTAGGGGGCTAGTGTAGAATCTTAGGGTATGTCTACTATATTAATGAAGGCATCACAGTGCACACTTCAACACAGATGAGTTGCGCTACTACAAGCCTATCAGAACTCCAGGAACATATTTGGATTATTAGTCAACAGTGAAGTCCTTGCTACCATGTCTTTACTATTTACCATGCTAGCTAGATTAAAGCACTGTGCACATTGCAATCTAACTAAAGAACTTTTTCAACTATTTGTATACCATTTTAAAATCAAACAAAAATCCTGAATTACTTAGACTCCGGTGGAGCTTCCATATTTTGAATGGTTTCTTTTGAGACCGTATCAATGACTTATCAATTATTTCTGTATTCATCAAGCACATTACAATCTCCTTTTAACTCCTGTTCTGACTCAGTATTTTTCCCATATATTTTTCCTATATTTTTCCTGATGTAGATGCATATATTATCATAGTGCTTATTTCTGCAAGGTGGGCTTTCAGGTAGTATTTCTAATGGTCCTTTCTGGACTTAATATCTATGAAACTGAACTCTATGAAGTGCAAAGTAACATAAGTACTTAGCAGCATGTATAGTACTTTATAGTAGCAAAATACCATACTACATATAGTTTTGTTTTTTAAACATATAGGGTCGCAAATTCTAAACTTAACAATTTTTCTCGCCTGGAACCAACGCTTCAGCTCCTTGGTGTGCAGTTTGATCAGAATGAGGCCCAGAATATCATGACTGAACAGCATGGGGCTGCAACCAAGCTTTTATATCAGCTTTATGTTGCCCTTGAAAAGAAGAAAAAGGCAGGGCTCACAGGAGTAGCCATGGAAACAATGAGACCTGCAGGACCTGCAAAGCTCAAGGGTATTGAGAGTGAGTTGTATCGAGAGGTAGGTTAATTAAGTTTGTCATATACAGCACTAGATAATCAGCAGACTAAAATGAAGCACATTTACATATAACTTTTTGGTAACAAAAAAAATATTCACCTCACTTAACACCACTTTTTGTTTAATATATAATACTCTATGTGAAGAATCTATGATAGGGTATGTCTATGCTGTAGTTTTTTTTCAGAAAAAAAAAAACTTTCAAAAAACCTCCAGTTACATCCACACATCCACACTGCAATTGTGTTTTCAACAACAAAAAAATATAGTAAGAACAGAGGGGGTTTTCTGACATTGGTAAACCTCTTTCTACGAGGAAGAAGCCTTTTTCTGAAAGAGCACTTTTGGAAAAGCACGTGTGTGGACAGGGAAGAGGGAGTTCTTTTGAAAGAAGAGGAAAGAGCACAGGTGCCATGGTGTCCACTCCGTCCACAATAATAACAGCTTAAATACAAGATAGCATCCATTCAGTGTGGGCACTATCTTTTTTTGAAAAAGCAGATCACTTTTTCAATGCACTTTTGCTGTGTAGATGCTCTTTTTCTGAGGATCTCTTCCGGAAAAGCTTCTTCCAAAAGAAACCTGCAGCCTAGACATAGCCCCAGATGCTTAGTCTTCCATCCTCATTGCTGGTTCACAAACAGGCCAATCACTTTCAAGATTCTCTGCTTCTTTGGTTTGTCTTTCTATTTGTTGTCTATTTTCTTCCCCAACCTTCCTTTTTGGTTCGTAGGAAATAATGGCACATGCCAGTAGTTTTAGAGCAGCAACCATTTTATTCTTCTCAATAGTACTGTTTGCAAGCTGAAATTGAGCAAAGAGCAGAAGATTGAGAAGAGGGTCAGAGTTTGCAGATCTGGCTAGAACACACACTCTTACCTTATTAGGAATGCATCTACACTGCACCATTACTTCGAGATAACTAGTGTTATTTAAAAATAACAATGCGAGCGTATACACCGCCATTTCATTATTTCAAATGAATTTCGAAATAACAGATGGCTTATTCTGAAATCTGTAAGGCTCCTTCTATGAGGAATAACTTGTATTCCGAAATAGATATTTTGAAATAAGGTGTGTGTAGATGTTCCACTGCTGCAATTTTGAAATAGACCCTTACCAGGGCCATTCTAAGTTATTCCTCCCCAGTGCCTCCTGTGGTTCTAAATCGAGATAGCATGCCTACATTAGGGAATCCTACCTCGTACTAATTTTGAGGTTTCCCTGTTGTACAGACTTGCTATTTCATATAATAGTAAGACTGGAAGGGACTCGAGAGGTCATCAAGTCCAGTCCCCTGCCCTCATGCCAGGACCCAGTACTGTCTACATCATCCCTGATAGACATTTATTTAACCTACTCTTAAATATTTCCAGAGATGGAGATTCCACAATCTCCCTGGGCAATTTATTCCAGTGTTTATCCACCCTGACAGGAACTTTTTCCTAATGTCCAACCTAAACCTCCCTTGCTGCAGTTTAAGCCCATTGCTTCTTGTTTTATCCTCAGAGGCCTGGAAGAACAATTTTTCTCCCTCCTCCATGTGAAACCCTTTGAGATACCTGAAACCACTATCATGTCCCCTCTCAGTCTTCTCTTTTCCAAACTAAACAAGCCCAATTCTTTCAGTCTTCCTTCATAGGTCATGTTCTCTATACCTTTAATCATACTTATTGCTCTTCTCTGGACCTTCTTCAAATCTTTCTTGAAATGTGGTGCCCAGAACTGGACACAATATTCCAACTGAGGCCTAATCAGCACAGAGTAGTGCGGAAGAATGACTTCGAGTCTTGCTCACAACACACCTGTTAATGCATCCTAGAATCATGTTTGCTTTTTTTGTAACAGCGTCACACTGTTGACTCATATTTAGCTTGTGGTCCACTATAACCCTTACATCCCTTTCTGCCATACCCTTTCCTATATAGCTGCTTCCTATTCTGTATGTGTGAAACTGACTGTTCCTTCCTAAGTGGAGGACTTTGCATTTGTCCTTATTAAACTTCATCCAGTTTACCTCAGACCATTTCTCCAGTTATTTTGGAATAACTGTTCCAGAATAGCTTATTTCTAAATAAGCGTGTAACGTAGACGTACCACAGTAGTGTTCCGTGTGTGCAGGTCACACTATCTCATGAGGTTGAACAATTTTAAATAAACTGTATGCTGTGAACCATGTTTAGATGGCCCAAAAACAAACATACATCTGTTGGCATAATGATCCTCAATGAGAGTGGGAGAGGCCATAATATTCCTTCACCAATGAGATTGTTTGTGGATAGCACAAACAGAAAAAGGAAAAGAGGTGAAGATAAAGTAACAAGGAACACATGATTCAGCATTTCCTGCAATTGACTTAGTTCATTTGTTCAAACACCATTTACTCTCCTCTAATTTACAACTCTTTGCGTCAATTTTAGCAAATTTGGCAAGATCTTACAAAAAAAATACTAGCTAGCTATTGTTCTGTGTACATCAGTATATAGGAAGTATCTATTCAAAACTATTTTCTGAAATGTTCCTTTAGGTAGTTTAATGTTCAAGTGGCTTAATGTAATATTTGTATCACTCTAACTTTGAGATGTCTTGAAACATTATATCATCATAGCGTCTTAGAAACCTAATGCCACGGCAGACTGACTTGAGACTGCAGGAGGTTTCAGAGTATTTTGAAATGAAATCTAAGCACATGGAAAATAAAATGGCTCATATACGCTTCGCAGAACAACAAAAAGTTCAAAAAATCCAGGAGGAGCAAAGAGCACAAGACATTGAAAAGGTGAAAAGCCAATTTGTTTTTTCATACCAAGCATCCAAGCCTGCAAATATTTACTTATGTTAAATTTAAGTGTTTTATTCATCCTGTTGAAGCACTTAGCTCCCTTTATATTACATTTATATTGATGGAAAAGCAGAAAAGAATGTAACACTCTTGACAAACATTAAGATGTGGCTGTGTAACGAGTACCGTATATTCCGGCGTACAAGACGACCTCTGAAGTTAAAAAACATCCCCCAAAAATCGGGGGTCGTCTTGTACGCCGGATGCCCCGCCGCCAGAGCCCCTCCGCGGCTTTGAAAGCCTCGGGGGAAGCCGGCGGGGGGGCATCCCAGGCGCGCATGGGCTGCCCCCCCGCCGGAGCCCCCCCGCGGCATTGAAAGGCTCGGGGGAAGCCGGCGGGGGGGCGGCCCCGGC